CTATCGCGCTGAGCCAACAAACAGCTGATCAGCTGTTTGTTGGCTCAGCGCAGCAGCCATGTAAATTTAAATGAAGCGGTGATTATTTAAATCGCCGCTTCATTTTCCTATGTCTGGTAGCCTAATCTACATGCCTCTGGCGACAGAGGCATGTAGTCTAGACGTACCCTTAGTCTGGATCTGCAAAAGCGACAAGGAGTCCTGTGGCACCTTATAGACTAACAGATGTATTGGAGCATAAGCTTTCGTGGGCAAAGACCCTCTTCGTCAGATGCATGTAGTGGAAATTTCCAGAGGCAGGTATAAATATGCAGGCCAGAAGAAAGCTAGAGATAACGAGGTTAATTCAGTCAGGGAGGGTGAGGCCCACTTCTAGCAGCTAATCTGGAGGAGTGAACACCAAGAGAGGAGAGGCTTTTGCAGTTAGCTAGCCATTCACAGTTTTTGTTTAATCCTAAAATGATGGTGTCAAATTTGCAGATGAACTGTAGCTCAGCAGTTTCTCTTTGAAGTCTGGTCTTGAAGTTTTTTTGCTACAGGATGGCTACCTTTAAATCTGCTACTGTGTGTCCAGGGAGATTGAAGTGTTCTCCTTCAGGTTTTTGTATATTGCCATTCCTAATATCTGATTTGTATCCATTTATTCTTTTACGTAGGGACTGTCCAGTTTGGCCGATGTATACAGCAGAGGGGCATTGCTGGCACATGATGGCATATATTACATTGATAGATGTGCAGGTGAATGAACCAATGATGGTGTGGCTGATCTGGTTAGGTCCTGTGATGGTGTCGCTGGTGTAGATATGTGGGCAGATAATAAAGAATAATAAAGGATCTGAGGGCGAGAGAAGTAATTACTGTGCAGATGCCTGGGAGTGAACCTGGAAGGTTGTTGGAGATGGGTGCAAGAAGTTTGCAACAGGTTTCTTTGGGCAGGGCTGAAATTATTGGCGAGTTGGGGAGCCTCCCCCATGCAGACTTTGTTTGATCTCAGCCTCTTGTTCATTCAAGCACATTCTCTCCATACCCATGTGTCCCTGCACTCCCAATAGTCCTTCTGAGCCCCAGTCTGTAACCTATGAGTAGCTCCATGCTCTTTCTGTCCCACCGTATTCTGTGTCTCCTCACCTCGTCCATAGGCAGGGTGCTGTGAGAAACACAGTCTCTCCCCATCCTTCTTCAAAGTAGGTCGAATCAGCTGCCCTCTGTTCTGATGTCGTAACAACTCCTGCTGGATGAAAGGTACAACTGCAACACCTTTCTGGCAAAATGAATTTTCTTTGGAGGAAAAAAAATCTGAGAGGATACGAGTTCTCTGTGTGTATATGCAGTTTCACAGAATTACCCCAGGCACATAGACACCACTGTAGTAACAAGATGATTACAAGCTGTTCTTTTATCTTTTAGATTTTACAGGAAGACGAAGCTTGGTGGCTTTCAAGACATGGAATGTGTTCCTTGTGGAGATCCCCCTCCTCCCTATGAACCTCACTGTAAGTACTTAACTGTACTCAAATTAGAACAGAACCAACTTTTGGCCTCATATTTTTTCTTACTTTTGTCTAGAAAGCTAAGTCAAGTGTACTTTCATTGCTGAAACTGACCCATGTGATTTCTCTTTAATCAAGTTTGCTGACAAGAAAGTAAACATCTTTGTTTCAGTACAGTTGCCGAGTTATAGTATGCCAGAACCCAGTTGGCTCTGCCAAATTTTGCAACAAAACTTGGATGATTTAATAGTTTTTGTCTCTGTCTCTTTGAACTAGAGGGTCTCCATTTTAGGTACCCTCAATCGGAGAATTTCAGTAGCAGTGACCATCTGGGTCACATATGCACAGTCCCCATCTTGTGGCTCCATTAGTGACTCAGCTGGTGCATGCAATCTGACCCCTTCTGTACCTTCTCAGTTGTCCTTGACCTGAGATTGAGTTCCCAGCAGTATCACAGTTAGCTCCTTTAATGTTGAACTAGTTTATCTAGAGTAGTTTAATATTTAGGTATTTACCATTTCTTCCCTGTTACTATTTTTCCTTAGTTTATCCCACAGACTACTGCCAGAGTTTATGCCACACACTCTTTATAATTAGGCTCACCCTTATGGTAAACCACAATTATTCAAGCTATGCCTAGGATGAAAGCACTGCCTTTTATGCCAAGATGCCATGCCACAGCTGGACAGCCATTCTCACTAAGTCTGCTGTTTGGGTGAGTTGTACGTCCCTCAGAAATGTACCAACTGCTGCAACTTAATGGTTTGCACCAGAAAGGACACAGACTTACATCTCAAACTTATCCTCATGGAAACATCCCTGATTCCCTGGATCCAGCTTCAGACCCTGACCAGCAAACCCATTCAAAACAAATGTCCCATCAGACCTCATCCTTGTAATAAAGGAAGGCTACTTCTTCTAAAAAGTCAAAGAGAAAAGCTGCAGCTTCTCCTCATTCATTCTGAATGGTCAGAGTAGAATTCTAATGCTCTATCATTCCTTAAACCCTTTTGTCTTTCACTGTGAAATAGAATGACAAATATTTGTGCAGCTAGCTTTGTTGAGCTATTATAGATGAAAAGGAAAAGTTTAAATGTCTTGCTCCAATAAATTAATCGTCTTCTGAGGTTCTTTGGCAAGTTTTTATTTGTTTATGAATTTTACCACAAGGGCATGAACTTCCTGGGCTAAAGGTTCATAGTAAGTCTGAGCCATTGATGAGGACCTCTGTGTATGGGGAACAGTTGATTATTACCTAGTTAGCTATAAATCTAAGTTCTTGCTTTTATCTTGTGTCTTTCTGCAGACATTTTAAAAGAGAAATTTGGTTTAAATATTTACTCATGGAAAAACAGGCTGTGGATTGTTAAAGATGAAGTTGAAAGAGTTCTATAATGGACAAGTAAAGAGTGTTAAAGGCTAGGAGAATTATCACCTTTGTGTAAACTTTCAAGGGCAAACAATAAATTCTCTGTGTAATTTGGCATAATAGAAAATTAAATATACATAGACATAACTATATTTTAAAATATTAAGTTCAAAATATTTTATAAATAACCCCTGCCTACATTTTTGTGCAACAGTCAAACATTAGGGCTGCGTCTAGTTTGGCCTGAGTTTTCCGTTAAAAGCATTTTCGGAACAGAGCGTCTAGATTGGCACTGATGCTTTTCCGCAAAAGCACTTTTTGCGGAAAAGCGTCCGTGCCAATCTAGACGCGCTTTTCCGCAAAAAAGCCCCGATCGCCATTTTCGCAATTGGGGCTTTTTTGCGGAAAACAAATCTGAGCTGTCTACACTGGCCCTTTTGAGCAAAAGCTTTGCGCAAAAGGGACTTTTGCCTGAACAGGAACAGAATAGTATTTCCACAAGAAGCACTGATTTCTTACAGTAGGAAGTCAGTGCTTTTGCGGAAATTCAAGTGGCCAGTGTAGACAGCTGGCAAGTTTTTCCAGAAAAGCGGCTGATTTTCTGGAAAAAGTGGCCAGTCTAGGGACAGCCCTTGAGTGCTTGGTGTATTTGTAGCATGGCTATATTCATTCACTTTCTAAATTGAAGTGCAGACACGGTTACAGTATATTCCTGGAATAATTCAGACTGCAACCAGTACTCTTCATCTATTTATGCTAGAGACCTAGTGTTAAACACACACACACACACACACACACACACACACACACACACACACACACACACAGTATAGACTGTGAAGTTAAAAGTAGATGTGAATCTAACCCTGACTTATCTGTGTCCAGCAATGAAATTATGGAAGAGTAAATGAGAATGAAATTATGGAAGAGTAAATGAGATACTTACAGCTAGTCTTAGACTCATCAAACAGGAATTAAAGGAGAAATTAAGAAAACAAATTGTATCAAATAAAGTATACCATTGAACTATCCTACTGAAGTCTTTCTTTTTGAAGAGGAGCTGTCAGACTTAGAATGTTTACCAAAAAGGCATTATGCTACCATAAACATCTATGTATGGCATTAAACATGTTTGAATAAGAGCTTTCTTCTTCACAAATCCAGTTTTATCATCTGCTTTGCCCTATAGTCAATTTTTAAGAAAGAATTTGTAAATATCACATTTGTCATTAGAATATGTACTTGTGTGTGTTTTGCAAGGGATAGGATTCTTGGTTGAAGGTGGAAGCTTGGTAATTAACAAGTAAAAGGATACAAAAATGTTAATTTCTATCTCTTACTTCTTTTCAAAGAATCTCTTTATATACAAAAAAAAAAATTCCTGCAGGATGGCAGAGTGATGTCATCATGTCATCTGCATCCTCATGCCTCAGCCTCCATCCTCAGCCACTTGCTGTGGCCATCCTCAGCACTGTCCCCTCCAGGCATGGGCTGCTCCAGCTCCAGCTCCTGGTTCATGCCATGGGGGGATGAACCACCAGGGAGGAGCTGCTGGGATTCCTCCCCTCTGCCATCCTAGCCTGACCCCCTCTCCCAGGCTAAGCTAGGTCCCCTCTGTCATCTGAGTCGGACCCTCCCCTACCACCGGGTCCCTCTGCCATCTGAGCCCGCCCCATCTGGGCCACCCTGCATCCCCTCTGACATCTGAGTCCGCCCCCCAACCCTCTCACCCTTTCTGCTGAGACTCTGCACCCCCAGCTCTCTCCTGCGCCTTCCCTCCTGGCCAGACATCTACCCTCAGAGAGAGGTGGATTGGTGAGCATAGCAAGCAGGGGGCACAGCCCCCTAGTAAAGCTTTAATTTAGGAATCTTTATTGTGTTTGAGCTTCCATGGTACTCTGAGAATACTATCAGGCAATCCCAGTCCAACTTTGAGAGATATGAAAAACATGTATACTTAAATTAAAAACATCTGTCTTAGACTTCACTAAAAAACTACCCACAGAGAGTCAGTCTAAAAGCTCTCTCATCTTCTGGGAAGTCAGTCACCCTCTTATTTGAAGTGACTTGTTACACTTCAGCTATGTCTACCCTGCAGGCTTCTTTCATAAGAACTGTTTTGCGCAAGTGTTCTTGTGCAAAAGATCTTCCACAAGAGCGCGTCCACACTGCCATGTGCTTTTGCGCAAGAGATGTGCTTTTGCATAAGAGCATCCATGGCAGTGTGGATGCTCTCTTGCGCAAGAAAGCTCTGATGGCTATTTTAGCCATAGGATTTTTTTGTGCAAGAAATTCATGTTGCTTGTCTACACTGCCTTCTTGTGGAAGAGCTCTTGCACAAGAGGGCTTATTTCTTGTGGGGAGAGGAATAATTCTTCCCGAAGAAGCCCTGTTTTCTTATGCTATACTGTAAATTTACTTGCACAAGAATGCACGTGCAGTGTAGGCAGCCGGCAAGTTTTTGCACAAGAATGGCTGTTCTTGCGCAAGAAGCATGCAATGTAGACACAGCCTTCATGTTTAATGTGGGGCCAGTAGGAGGAGGTGTGTGAAGAAGTGAGTCATGAGATCTTCAGTATGCTAATGGGATTCAAATCTAAATATTCATTTTTCAGCATTCTGTTATTTTATATAGCTATATAGATTTTAGTCATTCATGAGGAGTAATTGTCTGAGGCTTATCCAAAACCATGTCATGTCTGCAGGATGGAGAAAGCTTCATGACAGATAATGAAAACTGAGAACACGAACAGGCGCTTGTATGTTATTTCAGTCCAGAAAAATGGCTGATGCTTTAAAAAAAAAGCTCCGTAGTGGAAACAAAAGTATTTGCCTTTTAGGCTTCAGTAGAATCAAAGAATCATAAAAATGTAGATTTGGAAGTAACCTCAAGAGATCATTCAGTTCAGTGTTTCTCAACCCTTTTGATACCAGGAACTGGCTTGCTGCCTTCCAAAACTTTGTTAGAGAGATCTTAGGGGCTGGTGTTGCTTCACAGACCAGTCATTGAGACACACCTGTTTAGGCAGTACACCTAAACCCTTCCTGATGGGTGTTTCTCTAACTTTTTCTTCAAAGCTTCCAATGATGGGGATTTCTCCTCTTTTCAACAGGCCTTAATATATTTGAAGACTTATCAGGTTCCATTCCCCCACAGTCTTTTCCTTTTCTCAAGACTAGTAATGCCCAACTTCTTTTAACCTTTTCTCATAAGTTCGGTTTTCTAAATTTTTTTGTATAATTTTTGTTGCTCTCCTCTGGACTCTGTCTAGTTTGTGCACATCTTTCTTAAAAGTGTGGTGCCCAAAACTGGCTATAGTACTTCAGCTGAGGCTTCACCAGTGCCAAGAAGAGTAAGCAGAACAATTATTTGCAGTGTCTTAGATACCACACTTCTCTTAATACAGTTCAGAATAATATTAGCTTTTCTTGCAATTGCATCACACTGTTGACTCATTCAATTTGTGGTCCAATATAACCGCCACGTCCTTTTCTGCTTAGCGTTTCCTAGCTAATTATTTACTGTTCTGTATTTCTGCATTTGATTTGTCCTTCCTAAATGTAGTACTTTGCACTTGTCTTAATTGAATTTCATTTTTAAATATTTAGGATCAAGGGAAAGCAGATAAATAAA